TCCTTTCCTTTCCTTTCCTTTCCTTTCCTTTCCTTTCCTTTCCTTTCTTTTCCTTTCCTTCCTTTTCCTCTTCTTTCCTTTCCCTTCCCTTCCCTTCCTTTCCTTTCCTTTCCTTTCCTTTCCTTCCTTTTCCTCTTCTTTCCTTTGATCTTGGGTTTCACTGTTTTGTTCTTGACTCGTTATAAGCCTGAGGACTTGGCCTTTCCCTGTTTGTTGTAGCTATGAAAACTAAGCCCTGGGAGACCTTATTAGAGGAAATTTTCTGGATGAATTTCAGCGCCTATCAGACACATTAGCAATGTTGCTCATTGAACACTTGCCTGAGTGCCTTGAATACAGCCAGTTTTGATGTTATGATTTCACTTGACGGCAGGGCAATTATTAGTCATGGCATTATTTATGCCTATGAAACCTTTGAAAACATTTTGTATTGTTTGTCTATCTACCTCTATCTCTTTGGGTGTGCCCAGATCTGTGAAAAGATCTGGTCTGTTGGCTTTCTTCTACCCAATGCACCAATTGGGAGTTATCACCTCTTTCTTAAGGGGATACAGGATGAAAGGAGATGAATGTCTTTATCACTAAATGTGATAAATTCTTTATCACAGCATTGAAGAGCCCCCAATTCCTCACGATTTATACCTCGGTGCTCATGAGAACGCAAATTTCATAATAGGTTGCCTTTCACACAAGGCCAGGAAGAAAATCACTAGCAGGGGGCCATTAAATATTTTATTTGGATACTAGGTTGGTTGGGTTTTTTTCTTCACCCTAAAAGGGCTACTTACAAAAACAAGTAGAATAAAGGATAAACCAAAACAAATAGAATCCAAATTGAAATCCATCATTAAATATTTGGCTAGTCTGCTTCATACAGTCTTTGAAGCTGAAGCAATCCTCTTGTTCATCCCACTTGTCATACAATTGAGGGATGCAAATTGGGAGATCACCGTCACAAATTAGCTGTCCCTCCATCTCTCTCCCTCTCCCCCCCTCTTTCTCTCTCCCCCCCTCTCCCTCTCCCTTTCTCTGTCACTTCAATAGGCCTGGGCTGTGTTCTTCGTAGCTCACATTGTCATCCATACCATATTTGCACACCAGTCTCTGGCCTGGCGAAAGTCATCCTGTTTGTAATGTTTAAATTATCCACTAATTCGAGGTGTGCATTATAAACATTTCCCAACACATATAAACACCAAGAAGGACATCATCATGTTTTGCTACATGGTCCAATTAGTAATTTTGCTACTAAAAAACCCCAGTGTACATTGGTGCTTATTAATATAGTGTCCATTTCTGTACTAAAGAAGCTCTAGCTTTGTTGAAGCAAATGTCATGGTGGGATTGTTTAGAAAAAGGTAAAACTTGTTACAGGAAATGTTTTGGGGGATCTTTCTTTTTATGCATGGATGGACAGATGGATGGAAGGAGGAAGGGAGAGGAGGAGGGGGGGAGAGAGGGGAAAGTACAAGGAGGAGGAATCGGGTGGGGAACTTGAATCCTTGCGTAGCTGCAGGAGGCTTAAGCCTGACCCTTCCTAAATTCCATGACATGTTATCGAAGTTGTCAAAGGAAGGCAAGCAATCTGGGGAGATTCCTGTAGTGTAGGTAGAACATAATAAAGTAGTCAACCTGAACCTTTCACACAAGGATGTGGGTGGGTGGGTGGATGGGTAGGTGGGTAGGTAGGTAGATGGGTGGGTGGGTGGGTAGGTAGGTAGATAGTTAGATAGGCAGTCAGGCAGATGAGAGAGAGAGAGAGAGGGGGGGGGGGGGGGGGGGTAGATGATGGATGGATGGATGGATGGATAGATAGATAGATAGATAGATAGATAGATAGATAGATAGATAGATAGATAGACAGACAGACAGACAGACAGACAGACAAATATAGATAGAAGTAATCAATCTGAACCTTTCACACAAGGATGTGAGTGGTTAGGTAGGTAGGTAGATGGATGGATGGGTAGGTAGATAGATAGATAGGCAGTCAGGCAGATGATAGATCAGACAGACAGACGAGAGAGAGAGAGAGAGAGAGAGAGATTGAGAGAGAGATTATAGACAGTTAGTCAGACAGATAGATAGAAGTAGTCAACCTGAACCTTTCACATGAGAATGTGGATGGTTAGGTAGGTAGGTAAGTAGGTAGATGGATTGATGGATGGATGGATGGATGGATGGGTAGGTAGGTAGGTAGATAGCTAGATAGGCAGTAAGGCAGATGATTGGATAGATAGATAGATAGATAGATAGATAGATAGATAGATAGATAGATAGATAGATA